GAGATATCTTTCTCTCTCTTGCTTATGCGTATCGCTAATACATATAATACGTATGTGTTGTCTATGCATGTACGTCGCGAGACTATGCACTATCATGCACGTTGTCAAATCTGATACTTATTACTGCATGTATGTATACGTGTCTATGAGTGTGTGTCTTCTTAAGGGAAGTCGAAATTTTTATCATGTTATATTAAGATACAACGAACGATAATAGCTCAATGCACTAATTTGATTAATAAAACAAATTGAAAATTGAAAAAATTAAAAAAAATCAGCTGTTTATGAACAGCTGCAAGATGTGAAACATCTTTATCAATTAATTAAAGAAAATTGGAGAATTTAAAAGTAATCGAACAAGTAAAAGTCGAAACAAAAAAATAAGTAAAAAAAATCAAATTGAAAATTGAAAAAATTAAAAAAAATCAGCTGTTTATGAACAGCTGCAAGATGTGAAACATCTTACTATTAATTTAAGAAAATTAAAGAATTCAAAAGTAATCGAACAAGTAAAAGTCGAAACAAAAAAAGAAGTAAAAAATTAAAAACAAATTAAAACTCGAAAAATCAAGAAAAAATCAATTTAATACAAAAATCTAAAATCAAACAAGTAAAAAGTAAGAAAACAAAAAAACAAAAAACATGAATCAAAAAAACGAGAAAATCAAGAAAAAGAAAAGTCAGAAAATCCCAACACAAGCATCGATGTTTCACATCTGGTGCATTATCAATGCGTGCTTACTCTTCAAATCGTTCCCTCTCATTGAGTTAAGTAATCAGAGTAGTTTCTTGAGCTTTAGCGCACCAGATGTGAAACATCGATGCTTGTGTTGGGATTTTCTGACTTTTCTTTTTCTTGATTTTCTCGTTTTTTTGATTCATGTTTTTTGTTTTTTTATATTCATTCTTTTATAAATCTTATATATTAAGCGGTGAAGTCAACAATTCTTTCGAAAATTCTTGCTTTTCCCCAAAATTCTTGCTGAAATTCCCTGAAAAAAAAAAAAAAAAAAATAGATCGATTCGAAATTTCTTGCTGATTCCAAAAAACTTATCCGCACCCTTTAAAAATTAAGGGGTAGTTTTTTATGGGTTTTTTCGTGATAAAAAACCAACCCTTTAATTTTCCAAAACATTTTTTGCAGTTTCAGAAAGAGAATTAAATTCTGCATCGATCTATTTTTTTTACGAACCTTTATTTTTCATTCATTTTTAATTTAATTTTTATATCTTGAGGGGTGAAGTCAAAAATTCTTTCTTAAATTCTTGCTTTTCCCCAAAATTCTTGCCGAAATTCCTTAAAAAAAAAATAGATCGATTCGAAATTTCTTGCTGATTCCAAAAAACTTATCCGCACCCTTTAAAAATTAAGGAGTGCTTAATAACGGCGAACTCTACACTCCAGAAAAACTAATAAATAATTCTATTAGTTTCATATTTTTCAATTTTGAAATATTCAAATATATTCAAATTATGTTGTTACTACTGTACCGTACTCCGATGTTATCAACTGCGATTTTACAGAGCACGATTACCTCATGCCCAATACGTGTTACCGACATGTATACATTGATAAAGCCACGATACACTGTCAGACACGTGTGTTCGATTCTGTTGTGATATTATACTATACTAGGACATATCGTGTGCAATCCAGTGTATAACATATTTTCGAATAAGTGTGGTTAGAAACGTAAGTGCAACTGTTTAATTTTCTTATTTATTTTGTATGTATGTAATTTTCACTCACAACAATTTTGAATCAATGCGTTGTTTATTTCACAGTTCGTCTGCAGTTGTACATTAGCAATAGTATTAACTAAATGCATTGCTTTCATACATACTCCCTCAAATTTTTGTACATATTCCCTCAAATTGTTAATATTCTTAAACATTTTCTTGATACATTCTTTAATTTGTGAATTCGTTGTGATACTCGCAGCCACAGCAAGATAGCTTGCAGGACATAGTTGATGCATTGAAACACTGCAACACACACAAGACCTTGCAATTGACAAGTTGCAGGAAACTGTAAGACAACTGTCTATAGATCTCCATGATACGTCGAAGGTGCTTGCAAAACCAAAATCTTCGCCATCAGTGAACTCGACTGCATCGTCGCCTTGTGCTCAACCCTCATTGCCTGCAACCTCACCTTCATCGTCAACCAGCTACGTCCAGTCAACGGAAAATGCAATTATTGCCGTATGTCCATCTTCACTATGGATCTTTCACACAATATGTGGCGATGCCAGGTACGGCACCTGGTAATATGCCGGTTGAGGTCCTCGTAGTACCTTCAACCTTATACTCGAACGGTAAGCACTTCAATTCTCAGGTTTCATTGATTATTCGGTAGTTTTATTTGTTTTATATATTCCTCCACTTTGATCGTTTCGTAAATTCTTCAAAAATTATTACGTATTCTTCCATATTTCTACATTCAACATGTTAGCTTAGAGTGCCTGTAACATTCTTCTTCAGATACTGTACGAGTCCGCTATCGTGGGAGCGGAGGCCGCAGTCGCCGAATGCCCAGCGAATTCAGCCTTATCGTCCAGGACGTGGTCGTAACAATTGTTACGACGTACGACGTAAACATTAATTAATGAGAATTTCAGTCTGGCTTGAGGGAAGAGGAAAAGAAATGTAGTCACTCTCTTTATTAAATCACACCTTTTAATAACTTAAGTTCTACCTATCATTCATACATGGCATGCGACTTACAAATAGTAGTCTATAATAAGCAGAATTATGGTAACAGCGTTGGATCGTCAGCGTTGGTAATTTGACTCTTCTCCGGATATAGCGATGTCAGACGACCGTTGGACCTCCAATGCTGAACTCGTAGATCTCGAATTGTCAAAGATCAAGCGGCTCGATCAACACTTTAACACTTGTCAATTAGCGGTTCTTAATTTCGTTACAACTTTTATTTGCCTTTAATAATGATGCGCTTAAACTTTCAACAACGGTATCAAATATTATTTGTTGCCGTTGCATTAAACTTACATCTTTAACGTTCGCCATTTGAGGCGATACATCCGTATTACTGTCTTCATTGTACAATTCATCACACTGTTGCGTTATTATATCAGGTAAATTAAAATCTTTCAACTCATATCCGTGATTTTGCAGCATTAATTGTACTTACTGCAATGTATCTATACATATACCACTGCTATTAGTGTAAATGCATAGAGCGATATCCAGTACATTTTTATATATTTATTCACTTTCATTTATCATTCCATTACCAATAATTACACAGGCACACAAAAAAAAAATGCTCAGTCCCAGAAACCGGACCCAGTAGACTTTATGTTTTTGGGGTCGCTGAATCCGAATCCGTCGTCGGTTTTTCGCCATCAGATCGATTTAAGGTCATTTGAAGGTCATTCAAAGGTCAAATCATGTAAAATAGGTTTTAAAATCTGAAACTATTCCTACATAGGTTTTTGAGGATGCTGAATTCAAATCTGAAGTCAGATGACCTCTACGACCTTACCTTCAAGGTCATTTGAAGGTCAAACTTAGAAAATGCGATATAAAAATCCGAAAAATATATTTTTTTATGTTTTGAGAGTCGCTGAATTCAAATTCAAGGTCATTTTGACTCAATGTTGACATCTAAAGGTCATTTAGAGGTCATTTGAAGGTCAAATCATAAAAAACAGGTTAAAAAATTGGAAAAAAACTCCTATATGGGTTTTTGAGGATGCTGAATTCAAATCTAAAGTCAGATGACCTCTCAGACCTCACCTTCGAGGTCATTTGAAGGTCAAACATAATAAATTCGATATAAAAGTCCGAAAAACCTATTTTTTATGTTTCAAGGGTCGGTGAATTTGAATCAAAGTTCATTTCCACTATACTGACTAATTTTAAGCTTATTTCAAGATTGAATCAATGAAAAGAGGGCAAAACTTGATAAAATATTGTTAATTTTGCATGCCTGTTTACCTTTTTCTTTTATAACGCACCTTTTTTTCTTCAAACGATCGGCGTAAAGGTTGCCGTTTGCGTTTAGTTCCTCTACGTTGGCTCTCTCTCTTCAACATCCAGCAGTAATCAGCCATCATTGCAACATCCCATCTACCTTGATATCGCTGCTCCATATGTTTAATATCTTGATGGAATCGTTCTCCTTGTTCGTCGCTAAAATCACCGCAGTTTTTCGGGAACTCATCTGAATGGTTATGCAAGAAATGCAGTTTGTAAGACATATTACATTTCATTTCACCGAAATTGTTTATCATTGTTGATATTAAAACTTTGTAATCATCGCTTCTGCGATTACCTAGAAAATTTTCCACAACATTTTTGAAGCTATGCCATGCAGCTTTCTGAACCTCAGTCATCTTAGTTGGAAAATTGTCATCTTTCAGCATTTTTCTTATTTCTGGTCCATCGAATATTCCTTCTTTTAATTTGGCATCAGATTTAAAGGAAAATTTAGATTCTAAATATTTGTAACCATTCATCACTCTCACTCAAAGCTTTTACAAATTGTTTCATAATGTCCAATTTAATATGTAAAGGAGGTAGTAAAACTTTTCTAGGGTCTACTAACGAACTGTTAATAACATTATGATGTCCAGCTTCTAAAGAATTTCTCTCAGTCCACTTGTGGTCGGTGTAATGGTTTTTACGATCTCTGCTGTCCCACAAGCACTTGAAACATGGGTACTTTGTAAATCCAGATTGCTGTCCCATCAGCATACCAAAAACTTTCAAGCCCTTATTGCAATAATGTTGAAGGTCTAATGACAGAAATTAAATGTAATATTTATAAAACCGACGAATGGAGACTTTTTATTGATTCTTCGAAAAGGAGCTTAAAAGCTGTATTGTTGCATAATACTAATAAGTTTGCGTCTATTCCTATTGCTCACAGTACAACTATGAAAGAAACATATGGAAGTATGAAGATACTATTAGAGAGCATCAACTACCAAGAAAATAAATGGCTAATATGTGGGGACTTGAAAGTTTTAGGTATGCTGATGGGACAGCAATCTGGATTTACAAAGTACCCATGTTTCAAGTGCTTGTGGGATAGCAGAGATCGTAAAAACCATTACACCGACCATAAGTGGACTGAGAGAAATTCTTTAGAAGCTGGACATCATAATGTTATTAACAGTCCATTAGTAGACCCTAAAAAAGTTTTACTACCTCCTTTACATATTAAATTGGGCATTATGAAACAATTTGTAAAAGCTTTGAGCGAGAGCGATGAATGTTACAAATATTTAGAATCTAAATTTTCCTATAAATCTGATGCCAAATTAAAAGAAGGAATATTCGATGGACCAGAAATAAGAAAAATGCTGAAAGATGACAATTTTCCAACTAAGATGACTGAGGTTCAGAAAGCTGCATGGCATAGCTTCAAAAATGTTGTGGAAAATTTTCTAGGTAATCGCAGAAGCGATGATTACAAAGTTTTAATATCAACAATGATAAACAATTTCGGTGAAATGGAATGTAATATGTCTTACAAACTGCATTTCTTGCATAACCATTCAGATGAGTTCCCGAAAAACTGTGGTGATTTTAGCGACGAGCAGGGAGAACGATTCCATCATGACATCAAACATATGGAGCAGCGATATCAAGGTAGATGGGATGTGGCAATGATGGCTGATTACTGCTGGATGTTGAAGAGAAAGAGAGTGAACATAAAGGACTAAACGCAGACGGCAACCTTTAGGCCGATCGTTTGAAGAAAAAAAGGGGCGTTACAAATGAAAAAAGTAAAAAGGCATACGAAATTAACAATATTTCATCAAGTTTTGCCCTCTTTTCATTAACTTAACCTTGAAATGACATTGATCTTAACTTTTTACAGGTTACTCAATCAAAAAGCTGAATTACTTAGCTCAAAAAACCTATACACAATCTTTTTTCGATACTTTGTCGTTTTCACTAGATTTAATCTTGAAATAAGCTTAAAATTAGTCAGTATAGTGGAAATGAACTTTGATTCAAATTCACCGACCCTTGAAACATAAAAAATATGTTTTTCGGACTTTTATATCGAATTTATTATGTTTGACCTTCAAATGACCTCGAAGGTGAGGTCTGAGAGGTCATCTGACTCTAGATTTGAATTCAGCATCCTCAAAAACCCATATAAGAGTTTTTTTCCAATTTTTTAACCTTTTTTTTATGATTTGACCTTCAAATGACCTCTAAATGACCGTTAGATGTCAACATTGAGTCAAAATGACCTTGAATTTGAATTCAGCGACTCTCAAAACATAAAAAAATATATTTTTCGGATTTTTATATCGCATTTTCTAAGTTTGATCTTCAAATGACCTTGAAGTTAAGGTCGTAGAGGTCACCTGACTTCAGATTTGAATTCAGCATCCTCAAAAACCTATGTAGGAATAGTTTCAGATTTTAAAACCTATTTTACATGATTTGACCTTTGAATGACCTTCAAATGACCTTAAATCGATCTGATGGCGAAAAACCGACGACGGATTCGGATTCAGCGACCCCAAAAACATAAAGTCTACTGGGTCCGGTCTCTGGGACTGACCATTTTTTTTTTGTGTGCCTGTGTTATGCATTCTTTATATTTATTGCATCCCCTTTTTCTAATTCCATGATCTTGTCATTCCACAAGCTGACCATCATCTGCGATACACGTTGAAACATATTATTATAAAACATGATTATTTTTTCGTCATAAACATGAGCAAAGTTACCTCATCGTCATTTCCGTCCTTTAACACGATTTTCGTTCGCAAAGATTTCGTCCACTTGTCGATTGCAAAAATTTTATTCAGTATTCCTCGTACATCTATAAATTGTTTGTTTTTGTTTTTTTCATCCACACTATATTACAAATTTTTTTAACTAATACATATTATATTAAAACATACGACACTTATTATTTGTCTCCGTGTAACGAATCTCATTGAACGATACAACCTTGCTTTTAATTGGCATAAATGATGACCTATTTATTCCTGTAACATCCTCAATTTTCGTTGTTTTTTTAATGATAATGTTTATACTTGAATTACTTGTCTCATCTTCATTATATGCACTAAATAACATGTCTGTTATTTCATAAACTTGATTTATCTAGAACATTACAATTTATTTTATAAACAAATTTTGTCGTATCATTACAATGTATACCTCATATTTACCTTAATCTTTTCATACACATCCAATAAAATTCAAAAATTATTTTTCAAATTCTTTCTTTTCCCCAAAATCCTTGCTAAAATTCTCTAAAAAAAATAATATTTTTTAAAAAATGGCGATCTCTACTCGAGCCACACAGTCTAATATTTTTCGTATATTTTCGATTGTTTTTTTTTGTTTTTTTTTAAATTCAATTTTTAATTTTTCCTTAAATGGCGATCTTTACTCGAGCCACACATTTCCTTATTTTTCCAACAATTTTCATATTCCATACAATGTAATATACTAATACAATAACTTCATTTTTTATTTTCATATAACGGCGATCTCTAACTCTTCAAATATATTCAAATTATGTTGTTACTACTGTACCGTACTGCACCAGCCAATTTGCCGGTTCAGGTACTCCTAGTACCTTCCACTTATTATAATTATTGACCTTCATTACATTCTCTTGTAAATTATTTTGAGTTTCAAACCGTACCATGTCAGCATAGAGTGCATATAACATTTATTATTTCAGATACGGTACGAGTCCGTTATCGTGGGAGCGGGGGCCAAAGTCGCCGAAACTGGTACGTCCAGTAAAACCAGCCGTATCGTCCAGGACGCGAACGTAACAATTATTACCGTAATAATTAAATGTAATGTAATGTAAAAGTAAATGATTGATATTTACAAAATTTCCTTATAAACAACATTTTTAGTATAATGACTTGATTGATCAATTTCCCTTTTTCCCAATCTAGCTCTGTTATGCGTTTTGAAATTATTATGCTGTAAAACTACTTTAATTCCTGCACGTGATCTTACTCTAGACAAGGCAGCGTATAATTGTCCGTGACCAAATACTGGGGCTGGTAACAAAACGATTTTTTGAGGTTCTCCCTGTCAGGTAAACGGCTTCGAACAGCGTCGTGTAAATCATGGAGCTCTGTTCGAAGGATTCGAGACGGAGGCTCTTCTGGATGCTCTTCAGCTTTTCTTTTTAATCTAGATATAACACACTTCTACTGTAGATATAATAAACTTCTATAATATAATACAATCATACCTTTTTTTTATCGTCTCAGCCTCGCAATCTTCTCGATCGGGAGGGTGCGTATGTGGTGATAGTTCCAGACCTTGAAGTATCTCGACGTTGTCCGTTCCATGTACAGGAATCGTAATAGCTCGAGCTCTACACTCTCGACTTCGAAGCCTATTGCAGTCCCAATATGTCCTACCTTTGACAACTTTTGAACGCAAATAAACGAAGCCACGAATTATCAATTTAGTACCTAAATTGACGGGAGTATCTGCCATTTTAGCAAATTTTTAGCGGTTATCGTTACCCGATGTCGAATACGCGTCAATTTATACTAATGAGTACGTTATAATAGTGATACATCATACGTTACAGTAGTGATGTAGGCACAATAAATAAACATAATCTGTGTTTACTAGTTAGAGAAAATGTATGTTCGGGAAAATTTATATTCGGAAAAAATATATTCGTGAAAATGTATGTTCGGGAAAAACATATCGTTATATCATTCAAGATCGCTTTTAACTTTTCATGAAATACTCTAACTATTAAATCAGGTCTATCAAGTGTGGACTCATGAGATCTCATATTATCTGCAATTTCAGACCAGGCTGAATTACATGTCATGGTTATAAATAAATCTGGTTTACCTTTCGATTGAACCAACGTCATTGAGTCTAGGTAGTTTTCTTTGCAGGCCCTAGGACTACCCGTAAAACTCGAAGGTAATCTAACTATTTTGCCAATTTTAGTTTTGCTGTCTTCCGTCTTTTTTACGAGATGATCCATCAGTCCTCGGTACATTTCGGTTCTTAAAAGGTCTTGATTTTTTTCGACAAAGTATAACCTTGAATGCTTAACTTTAACCCATGTATCTACGACGAACTGTTGCGATAATCGACCCATTTGAATAAATGGATTGAAATTTCCTCTACTGGTGAATTTATATCTGTAAAATTCGCATGTAAATATCATATCATCTGTTTCATTCTTTTTCTTATTTTTCGGTGCGCTTTTCTTTTCTTTTTTTTTTCCTTCTTCATGTACGGACGCCATCCGGCTCCTCCGCGTGAATACATCAGTGGATACGACATTGGACCGTTATGTTTGCTAATGGAATTTTTATTGGTTTACTTTGTGGTCGAGAATACAAGCACACATCGCGTTCAATAGGTAATGCACCTTCGTCACCAACAAACACAACAGCTACTTCGTTACATGTTGCAACATTATATCGATTTTTATCCAAATTTTGATTATTATTACGCGTTATAATCATTTGCACCTATCGAGAACATTTTCCATGTACTGCTTGGCGTTCTATTTCTTCCTTTTCTACTTCATACATCATTTTGTATGAAGCGGCATACGGATTAGATTCATTTAGTATTGTTTCAATCGTTTGAAATATACTTCGTGCACATTTTGTATTACATTCATTAAGCATGCGCTCATTTATGGCTGACTCAGAATCTAATATGTACAACTGACCATATTTGCTAGGCGTTTTTTCTTCGGGGTGCAACGAATAAACATTATGATAGATTTGGCCACAAATTTTTATAATAGGAAGTCTTATATTCGGACTTATTACAGCTCCAAAACTTGCAAAAGCAAATGCACTGTTGTATTGTCTAGATGTGTTTAGAAATTCTCGATCATACGTTAATTTTTCTATGGCTTTGGGAAATACTGGATCTTCAGGTATTTTTATCTCTCCTTTACAGCAACACATGGTATATTCTTTCTGTGTCGTAAGTTCGGTTATGAAATACAATGCACCACAATATTCATACTTATGATCCATTTTATCGATATTATTCTCTTCGTACATCTCCTCATCGATAACTACATTGGCGATTACTGCTATTTCATAATGAGCCGTTTTCTTTTTATTTTTGATTTCTTATTTATTTTCTTTCCTTTCACTCAGAACGCCTTCATTTGTAACATTGTACTGTTTCGCTTTCGAGGTCAACGAATTACAATTGTTTCTTACTCCAGCTTTCCTTTTTTTACACGTAAATTTATCTAATTTCTCTCTAATCAATTGCTTTTTTCTACTTTTTTCTTCACTGCCATTCTTTGTGTCTCCAATTTCATTATTTCCAGTATCACGTAATTTCATGGTGTTGCCTTTAATTATCGTGTCGTCATTAATAATTTTTCCATTATAACTTTTGACCAATGTTGATAACTTCGATGTACTATTTGTCTTTCTACGACGATTCATTTTTTTCTGTTTTAGCGCTATACTACGTTTATCGTTATACTCGGAGTCTGATGAATTACTTATAATTGTATTACACTGGTTTTTAACTTTGGTTAATTTACTTTTCTCTTGCTTTGCAAAAAATGAACTAACAGCTTCTGAATAATGTACGATGATATTATCATCCGATGACTCTGATGCATTCTGACTACTCTTGTCTACTTCCATACAACTATCTGTTCCTGACCGTAAAAATGATTTCTGTACGCAAGTATTTGCACCATTGTATTGTTTTACCGTCGATATGGACGATTTACGATTTTCTCGAACATCCCTTTTCCCTATCTCGCACTCGAACTTAGCCAATTTTTGTCGAATCAATTGTTTTTTTCTACTTTCTTCGTCACTGATATTTTCTGTACATTTAACATCGTTCTGACTATTACCACGCAATTTCAATGTTTTGTCTTCTAATACTGTAACACCGTTGAGACTGTTTTTACTATTATCTTTGACAAATGCTGATATTTGATATCTTATATTTGTCTTCCCATGACGTTTAATTCTTGTCAACTTCGATGCTATACTACGTTTACCGTTGCACTCAGAGTCTAAAGAATTGATTGGAACTTTTGTTTGTTTCCTTTCAACTGTGATTACTTTAGATCTCTCCTGCTTTGAAAAAAATGAGCTCGCAGCTTCTGTATATTCCAAAATCTGTACATCGGCCTCAGACAGCATGATAATAAGCTTAATTAATCCTTACTATAATCTAAAAACTGATCTACACTATAAACATGTACCGTATTTCTTCGCAGCTACTATATTTCAACTTTTTTCACTATCACCATCTACGCAGTCGCGTCGTTATTATTATTTCGTAAGTGAATGTTTACATTCACCCTTGAACTATAATAAATTAATTCACACGCACCACAGCACTCACTTTTTATTATCGTACTATCTACCATAAAAATTATAACAATGTATGTTCCTTGATTTTTAATCTAATAATAATATGTTATTGCGTTGATATAACCACCACGTGGATGTTTTTCCATATGATATAAATCGTCTGCTTTATCATAGATACGCATTACATGATTCTACTGAATAAACGATATATCGATCGTTTATTCAATCGGTCATATCGAAATCGAGACATTTATCGATATCGATCGGATTTAAGAAAAAATGCATTATATGTCTACATAATTTTTCATAAACATTTACTGCCTCCTTATCACAATTAATACTGACTAAATACTGAATTAATACTGAATTTGCAAAATTATATGCAAGTTCATTACTTCATTTAGAAGATATTCGTATTTCAATTTAACATTGAGTCTTATAAGAAAGTCAGCATACAAGAGAATATCTCAAAATTTACCGAAAAGATTCTAGTAAAATTTTATGTGTATGATAATAAACTATCAAAGAACGTAAAGTTCAATTTTCGTAAACATTGGATACCTTTTTAATGCTTAATTAATTAATAATAATTTATTGACACTAATCTAGGGACATTTGACGTGGAATTTTGCTGGCGGAAGCAGATGTCATAACCTAACATTTTTCAATTTCTCAGCGAACAGCAAATATCTTATATTAACCGATCAAATTTATAAACCAATAATTGATAGAAATTCACAATTTGAATACGTAATGGGTTATCTAATTTTATATCAATACTATTTATTCAATATAAATATTTGTGTTGCATATTTAATTTAGTGACACCAGCCGAGCAGTATAAATATTTAGTTTTTCACAGTTGGTAATTCTGCTCGGAGGTACCTTCTTAAATGTTCACTCTCGATCGATACGTTTTACCACGTGAGCGCACTCGGATTTTTGTTATGACGTCTTTAATGTTCACTCTCGATCGGTAATTATTACCACGTGAATGTATATGCGCACACGTGAACGCACATGTAATACTACGACTCGACTTTCTTATGCGGTTCGATTCATTCGACGTGCTTGATATAGTACAGGCAACAATTATTTTTCTAACCTAAACCTTTCGTTACTTGGAACAATTCACCATGTGCGTCTTTCGATGCAATCAAAATATTAACCATGAGTTTGACGGATTCGCCAGTTCCGACGGAAAAAACCAAGCTCACCGAATCGGTGCAATCGTCGCTATTGTTAAAATCAACGGATTTCACTCATTTACACAGAAACATTAACAAGTAAGTGCAGTGATTCCTACCCTATTATTACGCTATGATGCTGATTGCACCTCGATTGCACTTTGCGATAAAATTACACAACGTGATACAATTTTCATTTCCGTAATTTTTTTCATTTACAGATATCAAATTGAATGTTGTGTTTTATTCAAGTCAGCCCTGATTGATTCAAAGATGTCGTATGGTGTTGAAGGCAATCAGGTCATGTTTTTCATATCACTGCTTGATATCGCTGGTACGAAACTTAAAGCCACGGTTTCTGTTAATGCACGATCTTATCACGAGGCCATCAAAGTATGCTCCATTTCGCGCGAACCAACTAATGACCGGGCGACTACTGAGCTGTGTGTTAGGTTAGAAGTTAGGTTAAAGTTTAATGTTAATTAATTATCAACTATTTTAAGTATTAGCAATGGTTAAGCGTAAGTTGAAAGTTACAAATTCAGTTAGGGTAACTCAAAGAGGTAAAAAAAAACAAGGCAAGTGATTCGAAGAAGGGCGCACGTGACAAATAAGTACACGCAAGAAACCTTCATCGAAGCATACAACAAAGTTAAATCTAAGAATCTCAGTATTAATAAAGCATCTGAAAACTATAACATTCCCAAAGGAACTCTTGTAAATAAAGTTCATGATTGTGATCCAACAATAAAAAAGAGAGGCTCAGCACCAGAGTTGATTTTGATTTGAACTTACAATAATATATATATTTGAATTTGAAATTACAATAATATATATATTTACAAATAAAACAAGCATGAAATAAGCCAAGTAATACAAAAATATGCAAAAATTAAGCCAGATAACAGATAATCAGATACAGTTATTCTGTATCATATTCAAACACTGTGACTAAGAGTATGTACAGATGTAGGTAAAATTAATTGCTATAAGTATGAGAGATTACAATTAATAAGCAAAAATACATAAAATTTATTGAGCATTCTGTTGTCTCCTCATGTAATGCCCAAGTAGGCTCTTGAATGACGCCAGAGAGCCCGATGACCGTATCTGAGCAGGAAGTGCATTCCATGAGTTGGCTGCTCTAATTGAGAAACCTGACTCCAAGGTGGAGGAATCCGCAAACGGCACCACTATCGTCGGCGCTCCACCCGCGATTCTTGCAGATCTGCGGACCTCTACGCCCGTCCAGTGATAGAGATTCGAGATGTATTCTGGGCATAATCCATTGAGCGCCTTGAACGTTTGAATGTTTAAAAAATAGTCGCGTCTCTGAGATGGTAACAGCCAATTGAGCCTGGTGTAGTACGGCCGAAGCGCAGCGTCTCTAGGGAGCTGGAAGATGTAACGTATGCACGTGTTTAGCAGGCGTCTGAGTTTTAAGTCCAGTGTGGCAGAGATGTCTATAAAGGCGAGGCAAGCGTAGTGAAGATGAGGTATGATGAAGGCGTTAACAAGCATCTTTTTGATCTTGACAGGCAAAAAGCCAGCCTCAGCTCGCAGACGATGCAGCACTACATAAATGCGAGAGAAAATTCCTCTGATATGAGCATTCCAGGAGAGTGCGGGGGTCATCACCAGGCCCAGATTGACAACTCTGTCCTCAAAAGGGATGACGGTGCCATTCAAGTTAATTCTCCCAACACGGTCGAGGTCAATGCGCATGAGATATTGATTTGATGCAAAGAGGATTGCCTTAGTTTTTGCAACATTAAGACTCAGTCCATTTGTGAGTGCCCAATCAGAGACAATGTGTGCGTCTTCGCTGAGCCTTGCCACGGTCTCATCAAGCTCATTCGACGGGCATTGCAAATAGATCTGGAGATCATCAGCAAAGAGCATGTGCGTGGACGTGCAATGGCGAAGCGCACGCGTAAGCACATCAATTTACGCTGCGAACAGTATAGGTGCGGGTGTGGAGCCTTGCGGCACACCTGATGTATATTTTCTGAAGGCCGTCAAGCCACCCACGTCATCCATTACAGCTTGTGAACGGTTCGAGAGATAAGAGTGAAGCAAGGCGAGCGCTGCGGACGAAAAGTTCTGCAGTTTTAAGGATCGTAGCAAGGTCGCGTGATCCAAAGTATCGAAAGCGCTCCGGAAGTCGAAGAGTATGAGTATGGTGATGAGTCCGTCTCCTACACCCCGCCTAATATCCTCCGTGACCTTTATCAATGCAGTTTGTGTGCTGAAATTCTTCCGAAAACCTGATTGTCTTAGTGAAAGCATACTGAAGGTCTCGAGATGCTCGGTAAGCTGTGCCGTCAGCAATCTGTCAAAAACCTTCGCAAGATGCACCAAGTTGGCGATCGGACGAGTCTGGGACGGTGATTGGGGCACACGCACCTTGCTTAACGGCCTGATGATTGATTTTTTCCAAAGCGAAGGATACTGACAGGTTGAGATGGATAGGTTGAAGATAGTAGTAAGAGTCGGTGCAAGCAACGAGAGAGTGTCACTGAAATAAGACAGGGACAATCCATCCCCAGAGAACGCACTCGCCCGACCAGCCACCTGAGTTAGTGAGAGTAGGACCTCCGTCTCCTGAACAGGCCGGAACTCAAAGCTTGGTATGGCATCGTCAACAATCAGATCAGTGATGCGAACAAACTGTTCAGGTGAGCAACACGGATGAGCAGTTGTCACAGTGCAGTAGTGATCCAGCAGCTCAGCAGCCGTGAAGAAGCCGAGTGGTGAGGGAGGCTGAGGGCCAGACAGGCCAATACGACGCAAATAAGACCATTTCTGGGAGTCCGTTTCACAACGCCTCAGGCCATCAATCAAATAAGACTCACGTGCACGTTTTATGTCATACTTAATGTCGCGACGCAGTGATCTATACCGCTGCAACAAAGCTGGACACCGACTTCTCTTGTATGCCTTATAAAGTCCATCCCGAAATCTGCATCTGTCCCGGAGTGCCGACGTGAACCACGGGGCCCCCGTGGCGCGCGAGGAACGAGCTCGCAAGGGAGCGAAAGTGTCCAAAGCAGCTACCATTCCAGTCTGAAGAGCACTGACCATCTCGTTCAAGTCCGACATCTCATGAGCCGAAGTGAGAGCAGATTGTAGTTCAAGTGCAAATTCAGGTGTAGCAACGCAACGCCTATCTCGGTACTTATCAGCACTGTTGAGAAAGGAAGAAGAGAACAGAGTGGCTCAATGGATTATCGATAAGGCCAGCATTGGATGTCCGATGCATCCTAAAGTGGTAAAATCGGCTATTAAAGGTGTTTTAGACATTGCACATCGGCAAACTAAATTCACAAACAATTTACCTGGTGAGAAATGGTTTCAATTTTTCTTAGGTAGACATCCTAAAATAGGCCTTAAAAATTCAGAAGTCTTGACTAAAAGTAGAGCCAGTGTGACTGAACAAAATATTCGAGATTGGTTCACTGATTTCAAGGCTTACATTGCAGCAGAAGGTGCTTCAGAAATACTTTTAGGTCCCTCTAGGATATACAATTTGGAAGAAACAGGTGTTCAACTGTGCCCAAAAAATGGGAAATTGTTGGGACTCAAAAGTGAAAAAAATATGTACTGCATCTCACCAGGTCAAGATAAGCAAAATATTACAGTTTTATGTTGTTATGGTGCTGACTGCACAGGAATAGCACCTATGATTGTATACCCTTACTCAAGATTTCCTCCTAAAGACATAGCAGCCTCGGTTTCGGATGAATTTGTCATCGGTCACAGCCCAAGTGGCTGGATGACAATGGACTTGTGCTATAAATATATAGTAAATGGCTTTCACAAAGAGTTAGTCGATCAAGGTATACAATTTCCAGTGTTATTACTTTTTGATGGACATAGCTCCCATATGAGTCTAGCTCTACATGATTTCTGTGTGAAAAAAAAGATAATATTATACTGCCTCTACCCAAATACAACTCACATAATGCAACCCTGTGATGTTGGCATTTTTAGACCTCTTAAAAAATGTTGGAAAGAACAAGTCAGCCTACACGCTCAATCTTCAAACAAACCCATATCAAAAGTTAATTTTGATCCAATTTTTAAATTAGCTTATGAAAAAAGTTGTGATCCTAAAGTTATAAAGAAAGCTTTTGAGTGCTGTGGCCTCTTTCCATGTAATCCAGATATAATTGACTATTCTAAATGTATGTCTAATCGTCACAAGATTATTAGAGATAAAATCAACAGTGAGAAAACTCAAGAAATTGTTGATCAATGATAATTGATCGTAATTCAATAATCGTAATAATTGAAATGTAATTCAATGATAAATATATTGGAAAAGGATATTCCTATCAATGTTTTAGATGAGTTCAATGTAGCATATGCAGCACATAAAACCCCTTCAATTGAAATGACTTTATTCAACATTTGGAAAAGGCACAAAGATGAAAGCTAAGCAATAAGCACCAAAGTTACAAATAGATATTAAAAAGTCAAGTTTCCAGGTGGAAAATATGACACAGAGTAATACAGAACCGGATCATTCATCTGAACATTCACCAGAACTTTCAGGTAAACATACTTAACAACAATAAATATTCATTGAAAAGCTTCATTCCTTGCTATTTTTATTTTTGTAGATTTTCCTAGTTCTCCAAAGATTATCAATTATGAAGTGGAGTCTCCTGTCAATCAGTTGGCAAACAATTCTACCACTGTGCAAGATTCATCCACTAAAGAAATATTTTCTAAGTATAGGAATTCAGACCAAAGTTCTACTATTCCTTCATTTCAACTTTCTAGGTTTCCTATTGACTATCCAGGTAAAATCATTGATAACCTTTGTTAAACTATTATTGTGATTTCATTATTATAATCATTTTTACTGTTACAGATTTCTCGAGTTCTCCTATGCAAACAAATGATCAATTTGTCTTACATCATTCATTAGATAGTGAATTCAATAGTGTGGATACTTCATGCGAGTCATCTAACAATCCAACATTCATTGAATACAGTTCAACTCAGAGACAAGAACCAACTGATTCAAGTACTATTCTCACTTCGCTTCAGTCTACTGCAAGGATTCTCTATTCAGGTAAATTTATTGAAAATTATCAAAAAATATTTGATTTCATGATTGTATCAATTTTAACTTTACTAGATTTTTCTTCCAACTTTGGGACGGATAATCAATTTGGACCTCACAATTTTTCAGAGAGTGTATTCAATAATATTTCATCAAGCGACTCATTAAATGATTCAACATACATGAAATACAGTTCAACTGAGAGCCAAAAACAAATTTATGCTGGTGATCAGTATGCATCACATTCAACTTTGTTTTCGCTCTCAGTGATTCCAAGACATAGCCAAAAAGATATTGGCGAACAAGAATATGAATTAAAAACTTTGACTTTGCTTGAACCAGTTTCAAACTTAAATGATCTTACTAGTTCTAATAGTATGTGTAATTTTTATTAATATACATGATGGAATTTTTCATTTCATTTTTCATGTTTTGTTTGTAATTTTTACAGGTAAAGTTTCAATTGATGAGCTTTGGGAAAAAAAGCTGCATTTTCCAAAACTACAAAAGTTAATACAAAAGTTACCAGGAAAAAAGCAAATCTTATTTATGCTATTTCATCCAATGAGTGGAAAATAGATAGCAATTTTATTAACGAAGCCGAAGATTTCAAATCATCTGCTTTCTCTTGACACTAGTCGAAATGGAAAACAAGTATCACGGGATAAAAATTAAGTCTTCCGAGGTATTGAGATGAAATCGAGAAGAAACGTAAAATCACTTGAGTCGCAATTGATAAGTATGAAAAAAAATTTTACGTCAACAAAGCTTAGTTTCAGAAAAAAAATGCAAAAATTTCATCTATGAATAAAATAAAATCACAATCAGAGTCACAGTTAAAAAAACTTAATGAATCATTCGAACGATTAAAAATAAATTATAGCTCGACAAATAATGAAAAGTTTGCTAAATCAAAATTTCTGACGGATGATTGCAAAACTACCCGTAGCGAAGAGTCCATCCGTGCACGCATAAAGCAAGCCTGTACCAACATGCGTACGGAGCTGAGGAAGTTTGAGGGGGAGTCCGGCAAGCAGAAAACCGAAGCTCGGCGTCTGATCCGGGACGGATGGAGGCCGTCGAGAAGGCAAGGAAGTTGCGGGCCAAGGAAGAGGCCCTCCGCAGTTCCCTGTAACTTCTGGCCAAGCAACGGGTGGAGCTCGAGGAAAGCCTCCAGACCAAAGCCAACAAGATTGACCTTGACATCAAGCAGGCCAACTACCTTGATGGCGAAGCGGCCGACGCCCGCAAGTTCTTGGCCGAGCAGGCCCAGCTGAGCGAGACCACAGATAAGCCGCCCCAGGCTAAGTCTGCCCCAGCAACCACCTCGAGGCCGGCCATGACCGTCCAGACCCATTGGAAGATCAGACGGGAGCCACCACCCGCAGCTGCACCTAGAGCCCCTCGCGTGAACCAACCGCCACCCGAGCAGTGGCCGGAGAAGCGTTACAAACCATTCTCCAAGATGCCGTCTCCAAGGTACCTGGTAGCACTGGCCAGCGAAACGCCCAGAGGGCGATATAAGAGGATCATGTGCCTGTTCAAGGAGAAACGGACGCCACAAGAAGACCGCCGACGAATCCTTAGGAAATGCTTCCTGGACGAGCTCCACCGGCGACTAAGAACCCGAACGCCCAAAAATAGAGGCAGAATGCCTGTTTGGAATAGTTTTTTTTTTGTTTTAGTTTTTCGTTGTTATTTTGTTGCTAACTTTCTTGTTGTTTTTTTATTGATTTATAGTTTCAGTTTCTTTATTTTGTTTATTTTGTTTGTTTGCTGAGTCAGATCAGGTACTGACGCCAATACAATTTGAGATTTGGGGGACTGAACCCGGCCCAGACGGTACACCCCCAGCAGTACCTTTCGTTCTAAGTAATAAAATAAGTTTCTAGTAATTCTAGTAAACCCCAAATTGCTATCGTGTATGATCCTTTCACCTTACCACCCATCTATTACTCAGCAGCAGGTGTTCTGATAACAGAAGTAAGTATGGGCTTATGCCCCGAAACATATCGGGCGATATTTTCGCTTAAGAGGGGGGGCACCAGGTACACATCGAGCGCCATCGAGCCGCAAAATCTCGAATACCTCGCGTGAGCATGTGCTGGTCTGCGCGGCAACAGCAGCAGTATCAGCAACGAGCAATAGCATCGCCGCGTATGTGTGCGTGAGAGGCGGATAGCAGCGCAAGAGCAGACAGACTGGCGCGCAATAGGTCACAGTAGATTAGCTCGAGCACGCAGCAAGCCAACAAGTGTGAGATCGGCACAGCAGCCATTATTGAGATTTGCGAGGTTATAGCCGGTAAAAAAGTACGAGTGTTCTGCCAGTAAAGTCACGGTTTTTTTGTGCTCATGGAAGAAGGCAAGCAAAATTATGACAAGTTTATGAAAAATTGCACGTGAGCCCATTAAAAAAATGTCTGAATTTCCGGCAGAATAAACAAAATAAATTAATAAGAAGAAAACTTTTTGAAAAGAAAATTTTTAAAGAGACAGCGATCAAACGAAACGACTACAACGCAACGTAGCGAAGGAATCACCCATCAAAGTGATATTGGTCTATTACAAGATCTTGACATCCCAACATATTTGGTGACTTTTTCATCGTGCAAAATAAAAATGCTTGATAATGTTAAAAATTATACACTCATTTATTTTGACATCGAAACCACCGGGTTATTCAAAAATGATGGGACCGTTCAAATCGCTGCGTATGATGGAAGAAATGTTTACAATGAATACTCAGTACCATCGATATCTTTCAAGCCTACAGCATCAGCCAAGACCGGGTTGAAAGTAAAAAATGGCCAACTGTTTTATCGTGATGAAAAAATGAATAGTATCTCCCACAAATCACTATTAATTAAGTTTCAGGATTTTCTAGAAAATTTAAAAACGTCGAATGATCCAGAAAAAACTAATGAAATAATTCTTGTAGGGCACAATGTCGTGAAATTTGATATGGAACGTATTAAAGCCCTTGCGCGTAGACTAGGCGTGCATGATCGATTGAAAGATATCGTTTACGGCTGCATTGATACGTTAGAAATGTTTAAAAAATTTATTCCAAAAAAAAAGGCGAAAAGATTTCTTTTACGCAAGAGGCATCGCTGAAAGATTTATGCCGAATGAAAATGTTGACAAGCTTCATAATGCCCTTGAAGACGTCATTTCGTTAAAAAAATAGATAAATTTCTTGGTTATCTCCGACAAAAAATTAAAAGTAGAATGTAAGAGCCTAGAATATTTAGATAAAAAAAATGAAAAACAAATTTTTGAACTTCATAAATCTGCCCTTTCCGCGTTGAAAAATATTCCTTCATCTAAAATACAAAATAAAATGGCTAAAGAAGATGCAATTTTTAATTACTTATAAACTAATTGTAAGTGTGATAAATAAAAATATAAAAAAATAATTAGCACGCCGCAGTTTATTCTTTCAATCATCTCGCGAATTCAAATTCCGCGCGACTTTACCGACATATAAACAAACATGGCGGCCAACCTCGCGACGACGCGAAAGAGTACTTCGCACGACGCCCGTTTTTTTTTTTATCGACAATTTTCTTTCGATTTTCACTGGCTTCCCATATTAATAGACACTAGCGCCGTCCTCGCTCGCTACCGCTCGCTCGGGTGAATGAAATATTTGATAGAAGTTTTGGGGGAGTTAGAATTGTATTATGGTTTTAGCATCCACTATCGTACAAAACTGCGCAGAAGACTTATTGATTTATTATACGTAAATATGTATGTAAGTCTTTAATTAATAATTATTTAAATTAAGGGGAGTCATACACCAATTGGTTCTTATTGGGCATTTTTGTGATATACATCACAGTTTGATGTCAACCTATGTTTTCAACATCAATTTGGCATCTTTGGACCCTACAAAATGTGGAAAAAAGTGTCAGAATAGACCTCTGCGTCTAAAAATAGCTTATTTTTGCTATTTTAGGATTTTGGCACTGTGCGCAAGGTTCAGACCAGAGTTTTTGAAGTACAGACCTCTAGTACGTCTCAAAATCTTCATAAAATTACTCTTTATGGGCTGAGTTTTCTAGAATTTTGATTTAGACCTTTACATCAGTTCTGTTACTCAATATGTGCTCAAAAACAACAATAAATTTTCATGAATTTTGCTTTTTTTCACATCTATTGTTGTAAAAACTTTTTTATAACTTG